AATTTGTTAGAGATAATACATAGACTAATATGTAACTTGTATTTTGGCACATCTTCATTAGTTTTTTCCTTTTAATGGTGATATTAGTACCTTGTTGTGCTCATTCCATTGGGGGGAGGAAGAATAAGAAAGATATTGTCATTTTTTGTNATATATATAGAAGAGAGAAGAGGAGGTCGACCAAGGGCATTATTATCATTTTTAAAATATAACTGCATTGGTTGCTTGTTTAATAGGCTCAAAAGTTTGATTGTGGGTTCTTACTAACGGAAAAATCAAAAGTAACTGGGGCATAAGCTATTGAATTCTTCAAGTGGACCCCACTTTCCATTCAATATTCAGTATCTTCTTTAAATGCACTACTTTTTTTTTTGTGAAAGCAAATTACTTCTCACCTTCACTGTTTAAAAAATTATTTTTTTCAATAAGTATTTTTAACTAGAAAAATTATCTATTTGGTAATTTTATAATTAAAACATTCATTTGATTAAAAATATATCATGGTAACATAAAGTTATATATAACAATTCTATTATCTCTTTAAGAAATATTTTTTCATTTATTTTATTCATCAACTGTTTTAGTAAAGAAGATTTTTTAAAAAAGAAAAAGAAGTGGAGATAATTTATGTAGATTTATGTTCAGATGTTCTTATACTATTATCAATTCATATCATTTAGTTCTCATTAAATTAAATTTCAATTGGAACACTTTATAAAATTAGGAAAAATATTTAACAATAAAATATATTTTCAAGTCCCCTTTTGAATATAAATTTAATATTTATTCAAATTGCATGAAAAGAATTCCCTCTCTAAAACATGACTTGAGAATAACCTAAACCAAAAATTAAACAAATTAATTTTGGAAAAACATTTCCTTTAAAAATCATTACATATTAGGCAGCATGAGAAGTATCATTATGCAGGATTATACTTCTCCCTCTATTATCAAAGTTAGTTGGGTACTTCCTCCGTGTTTAATAAAAATCCAATATTATATAGATTTAAAAATACATAAATATAGAATTAACTATTTTTAAAAAGACTCAACAAATAATTATGGTGAATAAAGTTGTATTACACCCTAAATAATATCTCAATCATATCAAATGAAACTAGGAAAAAACTGTAATTGAGGTCAATTTGATTAGAATTTAGCGCGATACGAAAATTAATTTATTTTATTAAATTATTAAGACATGTCATTAAACCAGAAAGAAATACAAATTTTCTTGTTAAAAATTTCTAAATAACAAAAACTCAGGTTTATCATTTCAAAGAACCCAAGAAAACACACCTTATCATCAACTATTTGGGAATAAAATTAATTTATTTTATTATTCAAATTTTGATTGATATGAAAAGAAAAATTAATACGTTAATACGATTGAAAATACTAAAAGAGTAAAAGAATATATTATTCAATTTAAACAATGAGAAAATACATCACGACTTATGTTTCAACTGATTTTTTAATCATATTTTAACAATCGATTTAAAGTTTGGTGGTGCAGAATATTTTTTAAAATAAAAAGTACAAAATCTATGTAGAAATACTCTAAATTGTATTTGAAGTATTGTATAATCTTTGTACAATAAAGTGACGACAAGTATTACAAAGTGATTGGAATAGTTATAATACGAATTTCGAAAAAGTAAAATGTACATTAAAAAAAAGATAAATTACAATACTGGTAATTGTGGTTTTATACATTATTATGCAAAAGCCTATTGTATTTTTTCTTTCTCTAAAGTCAAACAAAGTGTGTAATTAGCTATAGATCAAATAAAAAAATATTAAAAGGAAGAAACAAGAAAAAGTGCAACGATTGGGCTTGTGCATCGCACGAGTACATCAACAACAACAACAACAACAATCCAGTGTAATCCCACAAGTGGGGTCTGGGGAGGGTAATATGTACGCAGACCTTACCTCTACCCCGAGGGGCAGAGAAGCTGTTTCCAGGAGACCCTCGGCTCAAGAAGGCAACAAGAGACACTATATTTGTACTATCAATAGACTCATAATAAAATAACATACAATACCATAAAATCCATAACATANTTTACAAGAAATTGCCTTAGATAAAAAAAATTCAAAAAAAAAGCCCGGAACACTTAGGCCCGTGGGCTCGACCCATTTTGCCTGGGACCATGTGGGCTTAGGCCTACAGTGGGCCGGTTCCACCCTCCAGGACTGTTTGGCCCGGGACCGCCAAAGCCCGGGACCGTTAGGCCCGGCCCGTTTAGCCCATTTAGGCCCGGGCCTGGCCCAGAATACAGCCTTAGTTCTACCGGTATAGGAAGTTTTTTACGCGTTATGGTTTTGGTTCTATGTGATTGAGTTAGTAGAGTGTTTTAGTTGTTGAGATCTTTATCTTACTTGTGATTCTGAGAAGAGGATGGGAACCTTATATTCATTTTGGATAGGTATGTTTGTACCAGGCTATGTGTTGCGGTGGGGTTATGTAAGGATGAGATTGCATGTGTTTTGCTTCATTTTTGTGGGATGGATTCGCAGTTTGGTACCGACGGGGAGTTTTATCTGTTGGACTTGTTTGTTCTCTCGTGTGTTTTTCTTTCCATATTCAGTCATATTCGAGTTATGCTTTTTGAGTTTGGATTGCGATAAATGTGTCTAGGTGGTGTTTAGTGTGGCTTGTTGGTCGAAAGAGAGTTATGAGTTTCACACGTTTATTGCATCATATATCAATTTTGGGAAGTGTTGGAACAAGGCTTGAGTCAATATGAGGTTATTTACCGGTACCAAGTTTAGTAAAGAGCGGTTATTGTGGTCAGAGTTGTTGTTGTGGGCTCATTGGTGATGTGGCATGTCTTGTGGATGTATGCATGAGATGTTACAGCTAGTTGAGTATATTACAGTGTGGTTGTGTGAGAATAGGGCTCTTATGGATGTGTAAATTTGGTTATAAGGCTTATCGGCATGAGTGGAAGGAATAATCTTCGGTTGAGATCATATTGTCGGGATTATGTGGATTGAGGTTACGTGGGATCACTCATGGGTATTTGTGTGGTGAGTTTATACAGTGATTTGATGGCTTTGCAATGACTCTTGGAACGTTCGAGGATGAATGTTTGTTTATGTCACGCCCCAACCTCGGGGAGCACGACCAACGCGCAACTAAGTTACCCAGTCAAGCAAGCCTATACAATGGCTTCTACCCGAACTTACCCATGAATAAGGAGATGATATATTTCATGAATTAGACAATGAGAAGATCATGTGGACAACACCAATTCATTACTATTAGTTACATCATTTATAAGTCTCAAAATACATACACTCTCATAGTTTGAAGTGGAACATGTGATGCAAATACAACATTACTAGTTTGACTTTCCCAACATCAATATACAACCCACACTATGTCTACGGAGCCTCTAACGGATAAAAAAGAGTAGTATGATAGTGCTGGTAACAAGGCTCCGACTATACCTCAAAACATAATACATAAGGAACAAAAGATACACGACCCCGAAATGAAGTAGGGCTCACCAAGCCAGTTGGGAAGAGGGTGTACTGCTATCAGTGATCAATGTCGCCTGCTGTGGAACCACCTGCATCCATTGAAGATGAAGCTCCCTCGGCAAAAGGGACGTTAGTACATATGAAATAGTACTAGCATGAATGACTAAATACCCTCTCAATAGAACAAGTACTAATACAAGAAGGAATAATCATAGAATCAATGGAAGCCTCAAAGAATACCAAAACATCAAGTTAGGAGCAAGAAAAGATTTCAAGTAAATTTACGTATTTTTGGTTGGGAGATCTTTAGCACCGATATACCACTGTGTCTTTAGCACGGAGTCCGATCACGGCCCAATCGGCTAGACTGTCTCACCTAAAGACATCCAATCACAATCACAATATCAATCATTATCTAAATCACAATCTCAAGCACAATCACCACTATGTGTGCGGCATGGCATCAGATCACGACCCAATCGGCTAGGCCGTCTCACCACAATGTCGTGTGGATTGACATCACCCTTTGCTAGCAATCATCTCATCTCAATTAAGGGGAATAATCATAATCCACTCCTACACCGGCACATGTAGTTTCGGGGTTAGGTTATTTCAACCTACCCTTCCTCGGTGACTAACGATTGTTGACATCCAATTTTGTCCCTCCTTTCTTCTAATTAATTTTCTTGAGCTTCTAAGTTACTAATAAACTGAACACCCTATTTTTGCTACAATTTTTTATAATTGTTACTACTACTACTACTACTACTGTTGCTGTTGCTGCTGCTGCTGCTCTTGCTCCTGCTCCTGCTGCTCCTGCTCCTGCTGCTGCTGCTACTCCTGCTCCTGCTGCTGCTCCTGCTCCTGTTGCTGCTCCTGCTCCTGCTCCTGCTGCTCCTGCTCCTGCTGCTGCTCCTCTTGTTGTTCTTGCTGCTCCTCCTCCTGCTGCTGCTGCTGCTGCTCTTCTCCTACTACTACTACTACTACTACCACTACTACTACTACTATTATTGTTGCTGCTACTACTACTACTACTACTACTATTGTTGCTGCTACTATACTACTACTACTACTGTTACTGCTGTTGCTGCCGCTGCTGCTACTACTGCTGCTGCCGCCGCCGCTGCTGCTGCTGCTACTACTGCTGCTGCTACAACTACATTTACTATTATCACTGTTATTATTATTACTACTACTACCACTTTATTATTATACTACTTTTAGTACTAGTATTATTATTATGATTATTTATTATCATTATTAATGCTATTGTTGCAATTAGTATTGTTACTACTTTAAATTATCTACTTAATATTATTTTATTATGTATAAATTAGTCAATTTACTAGGAAGAAAGGAATATTAAGACCATTTTAAGTCCAAAATTCGTCCATCAGCTAGCCCAGGACTCAGCCAACCAAATCAGGCCCAAACGAAATCTTCCACTTTAGCCCAAACAGTAGAACCCTCTGGAACTCCTACTAAAATGCTGTCGCTTAGCGTCTAACGATATCACATTTTTCCTAATCTCCCAGTTGTCTTCTTCCCCCCTTTTCCTCTTCTAGTCTAAATTCCATGGAACCTCAGCCATGGACAGATTTTGTTTACTCCATTTTTGTGCAAAACGTACTTTTAACAGAGTCTGTTGCTACTCAATCTCTCCAAAAACGCTCCTCTCTCTCTCTTCTTCAACGGGTCAGTCAACAGATAAAGCCAAAAGACTTCTGAAATTTTGATTCTCCAATTCTGAAGAACTGATTTCTCAGAGCTTTTGTTTGATTTTCATAACGGCTCTTATGGCCGTTTGAATTTCAAATCCCACCAAGGAATTAAGCCCTAGATTTTTCATTATAAATAGTGGTGTTTTGAGGCCATTGACAGAAGGGAGGGAGCCGCTGCCTTCACCCTTCGAAACCAAATTTTTGACCGCTCTTCTCCTCTCTAAAATTCACTCTTTGCCTATTAGCTATCTCCAAAAGAAAAGCTTTAACTTCAACACCTCTACTGTTTCTATTTGGTATTTACCATAGCAGAAATTTGGTTATCCTCTATTTATTTAGTCGAGTCTGCTTTTGTTCGAGAGGGAGGAGTAAAGTCGAGATCGAAGTTCGATAGCGCGTTAAGACCCGCCTCAGTTCGCTACCCTGCAAAAGGTCTGTATCTTCTCCTCTCGCTCTCGTCTTGATTGTAATTACAGTACGTTCCATGCCTGGTGCGTGTTTGCTTTGAGGGTTAGTTCCTATTAAGCCTTTATGTTTGATGCTATAAAAATGGCTCTAATTTGTGTTTGTTTAAGGGAATGATTCTATGACCGAAGTTGTTAGCAATAATTCTAAAGGAGATTGTGTTCTTATGTGTATTGTTAGAAGCATGCCCCACTAGTATTTGATAAAATGCTCACATGAAAATACCCATTTCCTTTTGCATACTTCTCTGTTAGATTCTATGATTTTAGGAAGGATTTTATAATGAGTTAAGTTTGGTTTGAAATAGCTCGTAATGAAATGGATGCTGACAGATCTTTCTCAAGTATTAACGTATATTTTGCTCATTTTGGAGAGACTTTAAGGAAGTGCGAACATGTCTTTGACTATTCGTATAGGGGGTCGAGTCTCGTTAAATCATAGAATATTCCTATAAGATGTTACTAAAATAGGAATGTTGCTTTAATGTAAAATACTGCTGCATTTGTTTCTGTTAGCAAAGGTTAGGTCCTTCCGGTTTATGGATAACTTGATATATGACTGGTTCGATATTAGCGTATGATTTTGTTTGATTTCCTTTTCTCGTCTGTTAGAAATCTGAATCTGCTCTGTTACATATTGATAATTAAAATGAACTTGAAGATAAACTTATGATGCTTGCTTACCCGTCAACTTATGACATAGATGAACTAATGTATAAGTCTTCGTTAGGATACCGATTCCAAGATAATCAAGTTCTAGCTAAACGTCATATGAATTTTAAGTGTGCTTTTGTATCAGTAATAGAAGGCAGGCCTATATCTTTTCTTTTCATCATTAAGATATGTCCTTTTCAGTTTATGTAGTAAATTTTGTTACCATTGATTGAGGAAACTTTAAACAAGAATAGTACTTAACATAAAGAGTCTATTTGCACTTTGAAAAGGAAAAGATGTGAATTCTGTTGGTATAGAATTGCGAAGTATGGTTCACCAGTTGTAACAATTTGAATAATTGTGTAGTTTTGTTTGTTTTGGTTTTCGTTTATCCTGATTTCTTTATGCACGCTTAAGAACCGAATCCCCCTTCTAATTCTTGTTTTATTCTCTTTTCTTTGTATGTACACTTTGGAGCAAACAGAGTCTTAATTCGCGACTCTTGCAGTGGAGTTTCATTAAGACTCAACACTACCACCACCACCACATGGAGTCCACATTACATGTCATCTTCCTTAGAATGCACCGGATAGCAAGAAAACAAGCAAAACGCGTGGGGGCGCCTATGGCGTCTTTCTTATATTTTTCTTTTACATTCGTTTTGTCTAACTTCTTGATCACAGATGATTTATTTGTCTGTGTTTATCTCATGTTGAGCATGGGTTTGATAATTAGCTTTTTTAATTATTTGTATTTTTCTGCTAGCCAATATAGTACCCATTTATCCCATAGGATTCGATCTATAGATTAAAGGCCAAAAATGTGAACTTATGAAGATTTGAAACCTTTTCATTAAATCTACTTTCTAACTCGTGAACTATTTGGAATCGTCCGAGATCTTGGTAAGTATTTCAAAAAGTAACTATGGCTGTATTGCATTTTAAATCATAGACTGTTTTCTTCAAACTAAGTTTTTTTTATGGATTTCGAACAAACCATCCTTCAACTTTCAAGTCAATCTTTAATAACAGTAGTTTAATTTTAGCGAATTCGTAAGTTTAACCAACATAGATAAGCTGCTTAGAGTTTTACAAATATTTATGCTAAATCCCTCTTTGCAACATGGAGAACTTTTGACGCTTCTTTTACTTAGTTGATTTGATCATTTATTAACCCTATAAAGTTAAAGTCATTTTATACTTAACTACGAGCTATTTTTATTACTTACAAAATACTTAAAAGGTATGCTTATATTATGTATTTACTTACCTTATATTAATTAACCTAAGTTTGGCCGGTTAACCGTAGTTAACGGATCATATAGGGTGCTTTAATAACCTTCCCTATATGATTAATTAGAACCCTTACCCATAATCTTAAGGTTAAGTAAACGGTAAAAACAGAATTAACTTTAAGCATTATTTAGTAAATAGGTGTCCAGAATTGCCAATATGTTATGCTCTAATTTGACCCGTGTTAAAATGGGGTATAACAACGATACTCCCAAATGTTTATTATATAAAGGACTTTCAGCTCATTTCATAGTCTTTGAGCCACAAATGTAATATCATTCTTGGCACCTTGGCCTTATTTCATATTTCATGTTCACCCCTTTAAGCATCATCAAGTATTATTATCAACAAAACATCTCTAATCATGACTTTCAGTACACATATGAGCAAATAAGAGTCTTGGGCACATTGAGCTTTCTTCCACATTTTAGCATAAAACTAGCAATTGAGACATGCGTGAATTCATAATATTTCGACACAGGGTGACATTTGAATACACTCTCGGAGAATAACACAATATGATAAGAGCATTCAGAGTATATTTTGAACATATATCTTTCGACACAGAGTTTATTTGCAATAGTCGAATTTATAATAAATAACTCAGTATATGAGAAGTAAGTAATTGACCCATCATTCTTGAGACTTACGCGAATATCGTGGGATTCGATTCTAAGAGAAAAGTTTAGTCAACATACCTTTCCTTGAGCTCCCTTGAATTACTATAGTGCTCCGAAAATCTTAGCAACCCCAATCTATTTTGAGACATAACAAAATTGAACACAAATTAGGAAGATATTCGGGGTTTCAACTCATTTGAGAATTTTATCAAGCACTAGGTGGGCATTATGATTTCAAGGTCCTCCTATGGTGGATTCCTTCACCCCACAACCCAATATCTATCCTTTTGATCTCAACAACCTTTCCACAACTTTGTTAGTACATTCATGCATAGATAACACCCCCTATACCTAAGAATCACACTCCTCATTACCCATCTCCTACCCCAAACTCGAAATTGAAGACTAGGGTATGAAATCTTACCTCTTGGATGAAGACCTTGTGAGTTTTCCTTGTGAATTCTCCAATTCTTGAGCAAGGATTGACGAACAATTAGCTTAGTAATCCCCCTCTCACTCTAGACCACTTTCCTCTCTCTAAAATATCAGTTAGAACCATCCAAAATAAACGCTCAGTTGTTTTTATAAAAATGGGATCGGGTAAAAAATTTCATAACTTAAACTCTACAAAGTTGGGTCTGAGGTTGCATACTGGATTGTAAAACAGGTATACAGCCCACAAAAGGGGACCGTAGAAAGGGTCCCAAAAACTGGACAGGTATGCGTCAGTTCTGCGGTCTCATAATGAACCGTAGAACCTCCTTCTGAAGTTTCATACTAGTTATGTGATGGATTGTGCAGCTTGAAAAATGGTTATGCGGCTGCATATTGGACCACATAATGGTCCTCAAAATTAGCTTAAGTCTTGCTTCACTCTGCTACCAATATGTAGCCGACAAAGTGGTTTTGCGGTTATATAGTGGACCGCAGAAACACCATGGTCTGCAAAATGGTTCCTTCAACTCCCCGACGTACTGTACAATCATCAATCATCAAAAACATAAGCTTACATTGGCATCACAAAACCCCAGGTTCTATGTAAAAAATTTTCGGGGCCTTACAGTTTAAGAGGGGGAGAATATAACGACCCGATCAGTCATTTTAAGATTTAGCATTCCCTTCAGTGGTTCGAGGCCTTGAGTGAATTCATATTGTGTATAATGACTTGCATATATCGTCATTTTTGATTTCCGAGTGTTCCAAGATTTGATTTGGAAGAATATTTTTCATTTTAGAAGCTTAAGTTAGAAATAGTAACCGAGGTTCAGATTTTATGAAAATGACCCTGGAATAGTATTTTGATGCTTCTGATAGGTTTGTATTGTGATTTTGGACTTGAACCTATGTCCGGAATAAAATTCGGTGGCCCGTAGGTTGATTTGACTTGTTTTACCAAAAGTTAGTAATTTAAAGGTTTAGCATTTTCCTAAGTTTGAACATTGTTTGACTTTATGGCTATCAGGTTCGGATATTTATTTCAGTACTAGGAATAGATCTGTTTTGCTATTTGGAACTTGTCCACAAAGTTTGAAGTCATTCCGAGTTGATTTGATAGGAATCAGACGCGTGGTTATATTTTTAGAAGTTCTTGAGTTTTAATGTAAATTTCATGCATTTTGATGTCTGATTCATATTTCCGGATGTTATTTTGATGTTTTGATCATACAATCGAGTTTGTATGATGTCTTTATACTTGTGTTGATGATTGGTGTAGAGCCCCAGGGGCTCGGGTGAGTCTCGAACGCGTTTCGGAGAGTTACGTGATGCTTCAGTTTGTTGTTGTGTTGCTGGTGCCTCGAGTCTCACAAATCCAAGACACTGTTTGCATTTGCTACACTCGCATTTTCAAGATGGGGGGTCGCATTAGCGAGGTTCACTAGGATCTATCAGGTTCGCATTTGCGAACACACTGTTCACTTTTGTGATAGGATCCTTGGCTAAGCTGGATCACATTTGCGATCACATGATCGCTTTTGCGAAGGGTCTGATTTCGCAAATGCAAAGTCAGGGTCGCATTTGCAACATTCCCTGGGGTCATCAGGAGCCACATTTGCAATGGTGTATCGCATTTACGACATTTGTACCTGAACAAAAGTGCTGGAAGACAGAATTCTGGTCTTATTTTAATATCTTTAAACTTTGACTCAGTAGGAGGCGATTTGGAGAGGGTATGTTTACATACAATTATTGGGTAAATAATTTTCATCAATTTTTAATTATATTACATGATTATATATGAGACTTAACATCTAAATCATGAGATTTGAAGGAATATTTTGGGAATTTTTGTCTATGTTTTGAAAAATGAAAAATTGAGATTTGAGAGTCAAATAGACTTGGATTTGAAAACAGAACACATATATGGACTCGTGGGGTTATGGCTTATCGAGATCTACCCTTGGACTCGGGTTTTGACCAGGCGTCCAGGGGTTGACTTTTGTTGACTTTCGGGAAATTGTGTAAAATCTTTTCATTAATTAAAATTGGTTTCTCTTGCATTATTTGATGTTATTAAGTCAATTTTCGTTATATTTGAGCCAAGCGGTGGTGAATTGTGAAGGAAAGCTAATTTTGACTGTTGATTTGGCCTAGTTGAAATAAGCATCTTGCATAACTTTGTGTGAGGGAACTACCCCGTAGGGATTGGCTTAATTGCACTATTTGAATTATATATTAGACGTGTACACGAGGTGACGAGTGTGTACACGACATTATATATGGAAATTGACCGGTCTAAACTATTAGGCTTCTTTCATATATTTAGTTGAAGTTGTCATATTATGTTATAGTTTTTATTGATAAGTTTACTCTTACATGCTATATTTCAAGTTGTTAGAATATATTCTATCTTTTATCGTCAAGCTTACTCTTATATGCTTTAATTGAAGTTGTTACCTCTTTGATTGTTATGCTACCTATTTTATTGTTTGAGTTATTCTTATTGGAAGTCATTATTACATGTTATCTCTTTTATTGTCGAGTTTATTCTTTAGTTTAATTGCGTTGTTGTAATTCTTGTTTTGATCTACTTACCGTACTCTCGTCTTATTGTTGTTGTTCTTGCACCCGTTGTTGTTGAGCTGTGGGCTAAGTATTGTTGTGGTGTTGGTATTGTTATTATGGTAATGTTGTGACATATGGGCACGTGTGGTACGTGTTATTATATTGTGTTGTTGCATTTTGGAACATGCAGAATTGTTGAGAGGATTGTCGGGGTATTTGCACCTGAGTTATTTGTGATATTGTTATTATTGATATTTGCACATGCGGCGAGACAAGCGGGCTATATATGTTGGGTTTGTGTATTTGATAAGACAAGGTGTGATAATTATTGATGCGTGTGTGGTGAGATGAGGCATACATTTATTTTATTATTACACACGCGATGAGATAAAGCGGGCTATGTCGGGGATGATTTGTGATGGCCTGGGGACATCAATATTGATAATATTGTGTGGTGGGGTAAATATCTTTTGTGTGTCATGCATACTACGTATTTTGATATGTTGTTTTCATTGTGCTACTCGGTGTCTCTGATTCTTCTTCTTGACTTGAGTTGTGATAGTACACTTGTACACGTATACACTGTAACATATCATCTATATCAGTCCAGGAGTATGAATCATGTTATTTAGAGATCATGTACATGTATTATTGTATACCTGCTTTCTGTGTGTGAATTGGACTATTAGCACGTGAGTTGTCCATGCGAATAAGAGATATTGTTACAATTTGCACGTGAGTTGTTCGTGCAGATATAAGGTATTAATGGTATTGGCTCGTGAGGTGTCCGTACAGTATGTGAGTTGTCTATACGATTATGATTGATAATGTGGGCACGAGATGCTATGTGATTATGATTTTGTGATTCGGAACTCATGCTTTGAAAATATGATGTGTTGTACGTCAGGTGATTCTTGGGTAAACTTTGTGATAGAACGGTTGGTTATTTAGTTGTCTTCAAT